TATCCAAAGGAAGGCCTTGTTACAAAAAATACACATGTGAAGTTTGAAATCCCAAGCACTACTGTTCAGAAGTTATGGCCAAGGTTATAGTCTCATAAAATTTTGCAAAAGTGGGTCAAACTCCAAGGTCAAGGTCAAAAGGTCAAATATGATGGTACCCAAAGAAAGGTCTTGTCACAAGGAATACACATGTGAAATATGGAAGTCATAGCTCCAACCAATCAAAAGTTATGGGCAAGGTTAAAGTTGACAACAGACAGACAGACAAACGGACAAACAGACAGACAAGACAAAAACAATATACCCCCGGGATCTTTCGATCTAGGGGCATAATAAAAAGTAAATGGCCAACTTACAACTAAACTATACGACAAACTTTCCCTTATATCACTTTTACTCCACAAGTTACAATGACCTTGTCAGTAAATACAACCTATCATTAAGTCGAATGCTGACTGATGTTTTTCATACTAATGGTCAGGCCATTATTTACACTCTGAATTGTCTACGGGATTTTTCGTTGCCTGATTATAACAATGGGCACATGGCGGGTGAGGCAGGTTGACAGAGGATGCTTACTCCTCCATGGCACCTGGTCCAACCTCTAATGTTTTAGAGGTTCGTGTTTGCTCTCCTCTCGATTTTCTTGTTCCAATGTACCTTTGAGCTTGATAACTCTTCGTCATCTCCATATTTCATAGCATTTGAAGTTATTGTTTCCCGACTGATTCGGCACGCAGGAGTATATTATGTTTTAGTCTGATAAATAACTTGTAAAGGAGATAAGGTTTTCAAGAAGCTCGTGTTAACATTTGGCATACTCTATGGCCGTTATACTGACCTTGTTTGCAAATACAACTTATCGTTTGGTCTTGTTTCCCTTCAATTTTTAGGCTGTTGTTTTTATAACAATTTGACTACTGTTTACTCCGTTTACCTGATTAATACCGAGAGTTCAGGACGAATGTGACCGGTCGACAGGGGATGTACTCTTCTCCTAGGCACCTGATCTAACCTCTGGTGTTTCCAGCTGACCATGCGTTTGCCATGCTCTCTGTATTTTTACTGGATTTATGAGATTAATCGTTATCTTAATTGTTTTATAATTGACGTCATCCATTCCTTATTGTTTTTGCAAAGAAGACAACACTCCTCAATGTCAGTTAGACTTGACATTTAAGAGAAAAAGTATAGTATGAAAGGAGTCAATTTCCTCGGTTGTCTGTGTTTAAACATATTGCCCGCGCACTGGAAAAGCGTCTTTGCCTACGCAAAAACTCGATGTATAAAACGTATAAAAATCGTTCCTCTTTTTTTTGAAACGTTTGACGAATTTAATACTAGTGTTGTAAAGGGCGAATTAAAAAGTGTGGAAAATATTGCTTAACTAACAAAAATTCACCCGCTTTTCTAAATGCAGTATTGATTATTTTTTAACACCAGTATCTGAATCTCAATAAATCTCTTTGAGGTATGACATTTGTTGTACGTAAACTAAAATTACTGTGAAAGTACTTTGCACTGCAACAGCATTTTTTTTTATTGCATTCAGAAATCTATAGTTGTTCAGTCTCAGGTAACTTTGTGTATACGTACATATACTTGGTTTGTATTTGATGAAAATTAAATTGTTTACAAAATTTTAAAAAAATCAAACGACTCGTTTTTCTATGTTCCAGATACATGTATCTTCTAAGAGGTAAAGTTAAAATTTATTCCAAGAATAATTTCTCAAACTTGATTGTTCTATTGAATTACAGATGCAACATTTTATGATATGTTTGATTTCAATGCAGATTGTGCAATTGCATGATTAAATTTTTGACACATTACAAATAAAAAATCAAAAACAAAAAGAGAATCTATATTCTGTTCAATAAATATGTTTATGCTTTCAGAAATTTCTTTATTTTAGCTGCATTAGAGAATCGAAAATTGGGTCTTCGTTTGTTAATGCGGTGCGTTTATCGTTAAATTTTCCATTCAGTGCTTTCAATAATTAATACGAATTGGGATTATCACTTTTTCTCATATGAATCGATTACTTGAGAAGAACTGTGAGCGGCATCTTTTAGATGACAACGTGTTTGGAAATTATAACATATTTACGGTAAACTAAAATGATTTAGTTCCATGTAAAAAGATTCCAAAGACCGGATGAATTAATATTTCTGTTCAACAATATGCATCCAAAAACACGAATTTCTTGTTAGGTCACTTAAGCTGAAAGCTCAAGTGAGCTTTACTGATCATATTTTGTCTGCCTGTCTGTCCGTCTAGCTGTTCGTCTCTCCATTCGACCGTCTGTCTGTAAACTTTTCACATTTTCGACTTCTTCTCAAAAACCACTCGGCCAATTTCAACCAAACTTGCCAAAAAGTATCCTTGAGTGAAGGGATTCAAGTTTGTTCAAACGAAGGACAACGTCCTCTTTCAAGGGGAGATAATTAAGAATTAGTGAAAATTAAGTGGCGTCTTTCAAAAATCAATGTGGATGTGAATTTTAATTTTCGCTTATGACGTTCGATGTTTGTGACGTCAAAATAAAACACATACTTTTACCTTTTGACCTCCACATCTGTGTTATGGTGTTTTGAATGCCGTAGCTTTCCACACACTTTATAAGCAAAATACAAACCAAAAATTAAATATTATTAAATGACCATCAATATTTTTCGGATGCGCTAATATCAATTATGTTGCATGTTTCTCCATATAAATATATATTCTTTACGAAATATAACAATGGACAATTAAAAAAAAAACACAAACATTATATTACTTCAAAAGTTAACCTTGTGTTTTTCCTTTCAGTATATCATATATTTTAAATTAGGGATATTGCTTATTCTAATAGATATAACCTGCTGTGAAATCACTAATTTTTTAGGGTCTTGATACTCGTTGTTTTGTGGTTTGGCGATCGAGATCCACGAATTTCTGTCCTTCACGAAAGGTAAAATTTCATATAAATAAAAACTGGAAATCTCCATGAACAAATATTTTTCCTAAAACCACGAAGACTTCCCCCCACGAAAATATGCAATTTCACAGTTTTGAGATAGATAAGTAACTTTATCAATTCCAATAAATTATATCAACTATTCAAAATTAATGATTAATATTTCTCAAGAATCAGAAATATAACCAACTTGAAATACTATATACTCTGTCAATTACATGTGGAGGGATTTATTAGTTTAATGATAAACTTTAGGCCGCGCAAAATTCCTCCTATAGCTAAAGATCCATCGTTACCATAAAATTTATAACCGTGCATTTAATTTTTTCTGTCAAAAATCACAGGTACTTGTGGACAGGAACACCCCCTCCCCCAGAATATACCCCCCCTCCGAGTCAAAAAATATTTTTATGTCTTTTTTTCATAAATTATTCTTCTAGTAAACATTTACAATGTATTCCATAAGAAAAATAAAAAAAATAACGCAGAATTAACGTTTTACTAAAAAAATCGTACCCGTGGTATCCTAATATTTTATGATACCACGGGTACGTTTTTCTTTTTTTAGTAAAACGTTAATTCTGCGTTATTTTTTGGATTTTTCCTATGGAATACATTGTAAATGTTTACTAGAAGAATAATTTATGAAAAAAAGACATAAAAATATTTTTTGACCCGGAGGTATATTGGGGAGGGGGGGGGGTGTCCTGTCCACAAGTACCTGTGTCAAAAATGCGTATTTATCCCCCGGCGTAAATACCCACCTTTCATAGTTGAATCACTAACTAAAGATCTATCAGAGTTGATGATATCACAAAACCAAATACATGTGAAGAGGCGAAATTACCTTTTTTTGAATATTGGTGATAGAATTAAAAGGCAGTAAATACCAAAAAATGCTCGTTTGTTTGTTTATCGAGAATTTTTCACTCATATGGAGACGCCACCACCTGCCGGTGAAGAGCTACAAATTTTGACCTATACACGGCACTGAGCGCCATTGAGCAGTGAGGGATCTTTTTCGTGCCAGCACCTTCTGCGACACGGGACCTCGGTTTATACGGTCTCATCCGAAGGACCGGTCTCCACGTCCCACAGTGGTATTCGAACCCTTACTCCGCGACGCTCTAACCACTGCGCCACGCGGGCGACAAAAATGGCTCGTCATGGTATTCTTGCTAAACGAGTGATGAACAAATGGACCATGCCATTTAAATCTTTTATCCGAACATCTCGTTCAGTATGGAATCCTTATAAGGTTGACATTAGCAGACAATATTAAAAACTGATTTCATAAATGTCATCAAATACCTCAATATATTTTCATTAATTAATTTTTACATCAAAATGTGACGTAATTCTAAATCATATGTATAAATACGATTCCATAACTGCGGATACAAACATTCACGCTGAGGTGTATGACAATTACATGTTGGTTTTTACTTTTTTCCAGGAATAACCAATAGAATTGACTAAAGGTAATGAGACTGTGAAATGTTATGGCAGTTTTAGATAAGTGCACCTTGATCTGCGGAGACTGTCGGAGAGGACAATATATTAGGCAGTAAATTCTGTTTAAACCTCTCTCGCCTTTTTTCAGAGGCTGAATTCACTGCTTCTGAATATAAAATTTTAAAATTACTTTCTTTTGGGCGCTGCTAACTTGCAAGGACAAAGAAATTGCGAATTATTTCCGTGAACAAGTGAAATTTACTGCATGTTGTAAGCAAAGGGTAACTTTAGACAGGAAAATCGTAAAAGAAAACGGTTGAGATTATTACTGGACAAAGAAAACTGGCTAAATCGAAAGTGCTTTAATTTTATTTCCATTGTTAAGCATGTATTGGCTCATTTTTTTTTATTAGATTTTTAAAATTTTGATTTTTTTTTTTAAATTCTGAAAGTGTGTGTGTGTGTGTTTTCTATTTAGAAATATTAAGAGAAATTATCTCTATTTGACAGACTCTCCCAGGTACTGTAAAAATGTCAAGCGCTTCTTGTATTTTGTCTTATTTGTTTTTATTTAAATTTTCAGATGTCAAGAAACAACACACTGGAACATTTTGTACTGGAACACGGAATACTCTACACAGGAAACTACACACTAGCAGAATTTAAAATTATCACCAACGAATATGCCTTCACCCACAAACTTAGCCACTCTATGGAATTTCTTTTCGTTTTTCTCTTCTCCACCATAGTGTTGTTCGGATTCTGTGGTAACGCTTTGCTCGTGTACGTTATCATTTCAAAGTCAAAATTAAAATCCAGTCGCTGCAAGTTTGTCTTCAATCTGGCAATTTCCGACATTCTAACGTGTATTCTTTGCATTCCTTTCACCGCTGTTCGTCTTCTGTTGAATCAATGGTATCTTGGAGAAATGATTTGTAAACTGGTTCCCGTCATTCAGGCACTGTATATTTTTGTGTCCTCTCTAACTGTTGTCACCATTGCCATCGACAGGTACCAGTCAATCGTCAACTGGCCGAAGGTTATGCACAAGTCCAACATGAAATATGTTTTTCTAATGATCTGGATGTTTGCCTTGGCCTTGGCTCTACCTATGTTTGTTTTCCACCAAGTGGAGACGGTAAATGTAGTTCCGGAACTACTTTCCGTGTCTGTCTGTGTGGAGAAGTGGAACTCATACCTGTCACGTGGTATTTACACTTTGGTGGTTTTCTTGTTCCACTTTGCACTTCCGATAGTGACGATATCTATGCTTCATTTTCTGATTTGTAAATTTATTGGATCCCATTTTGGATCTAAGCTTCACAGTGGGTCCAATAGAGGACACAGATACCTGATTAGGCAAAGAAAGAATGTCTTACTTTTGACCGCCATTGCCGTGTCCTTTGCTTTTACGTGGCTTCCTTGGACTTGTATCAATCTGATAGCAGACTTTAGCTCCGAACACCTCCGCTCTGTTAACATTAACCTGATAAGCGCTACTTGCCACGTCTTGGCCATGAGTTCCGTTTGTGTCAATCCTATCGTATATGGATGGTTCAACTCGATATTCAGACAGGAAATTGAGTTAGTGTTTCGAAAAATCTGTTTTGGACGGAGCCAAAGAAACGATCAACTGACAACCGCGGATAAGAACTCTTTTTTTCTGTACCACAAAAATACAACTATGTCCTATGTGAGACATGAATAAGTCGGAGGAACACAAGATCCGGCGGTTAAAATTGTGTTTGTTATAAATGATATACACGAATGTATGAATATATTATACTTGTTTTTGTACTGTTAATGGTTTGTAAATGACAAAACGTCAAAATAAATGTCATAAAGTGAACATCATTATTTCATTTGTATAAGTACTTACTGGAAATTCACAATCTTTGTTAACAGACAACACATTACTCTCGAGCAATTAGGAATACATAAATTGCACTAGTAAAGATATATTTTATAACTTTCCTTTCGTTCATTTACGACCAATGTTTCTTCTTTAAATATCATGTCAGTCTGCAACATAAACACAAATGTTGCCACAGTGTCACACAAATGGACTTCATGACTGATTTTGATAAGGAAAATTATGTAGCAGAATTAAGTTTATCAGTTTATCATTTAAGAAATAAATAACAAGGTTAAAAAATTCACCGGGAAAAGAACTTTGTCACGTGATCAGATTCCGTGAAGCCCATTGCGCCTGTAACAATCCGGTTGGGATTATAACCTTAGGATAAAACCAGAGACTTCCGAGTTTTCTATTCTGAGGTCTCTGGTTTTATCGCACACTACAACCCTAACCGGAAGTTCTAGAGTCTTAAAATGTATCGATGTAATTTTCGAGGAATACTATTAAGAGGCTCTACCAGAGACGTCCGAAACGCTTTATTTGACAAGAAAAAAAACTTTCAAAGCGAACGATGTCCTTTTAAAGTAGGTTAATGATTGATATATTAACAAACTATGAGCTTGAAGCGGAGGTACCTAAAATTGAGTTAGGTAGATTTTGGAAAGAAAAAGAAGGAGATGACCCTAAATACGAAACAAATGCCTGTAAAGAAACGCATGTTTCAGTTTACATACCTTCAACAGTGTTTAAAGGAATCTCGGTTAAAAAAAGGTAAGCGCGATTTTTTTCGGAGACGTATTAATGCTATTATTCAAACCACTCTTCATACCGGAAGAATATTCAACCGGCAGATATTCTATCTCTGTCATCGCTATTAATTAAACAATAAAATGCTTTCTTTGGTTGTTAGTACGGGAATTAATGTCGCAGCTGTTGCAGAAAAAAATACAGAACCCGCGTAAGCTGGGTTATGTAAATTTTTTCTGCAATAGCTGCGACGTTAATTCCCGGCCATACTACCAACCAAAGAAAGATATTTTATTGTTTATATTTATATCTGTATAAATAATCATTAAAAGTAGGATTAAAAAGATTGATTATTGTATTATTGATATGTAGGTCACAGTACGTTTCATTGATGGAACAGCCACTGATCAAGAAATATGTACAGGTGATATGCTTAGTGTTATTCATGAACTGATAAACGGCAATGGTTTTCTTTAGAAATAAAGGAGAAAATATTCAGTGGATGTAAATATGCTAGATGTTCCGAAGTCAGTTCCACTGTGACAGAAAATCATCGCACCGTGTGATTCGGTCACGCTATGACCTCTGACCCCCTAACAAGTTCATACAGAATCCACTGATTGTCTTGAAAGCATAAATTGAACACATTTGCTCTTCATAAGTTCATCTAAGGAAAATATTTGCAAATGTAAATATCTAGTCTTGACCTTGAAGGCAGTGTTTCATACAATTAACACCAAAGTTTAATCAGTAGTGGAAAAATCGTTCTTTATTACATGTAACATGTTCCTACGTAATATTGCTGGGAGGTATTGTGAGCAATAATCGTTATGGAGACAAATGACATTTTCCTTGAATATTGATAAATATCACATTATTCATGGTTGTACGTTCAATAGATTGCTCTACGTCTTTCGTTTTCTTTTTATCTAATAATACGTAAAATATACATAAAAAATGTATACGGAATGTATCCAAGTATTGACCACGCACATGTAAATGCATAAAATGTAATTTTCCAATATTCCTATATATATATATATATATATATATATATATATATATATATATATATATATATATATATATATATATATATATATGAAGTGAAGTTTTCAACAATATTTACCGATAACCTCATCTAATTAAAACACAATTAAACTTGTCTGCAACTTTGTCTTCTCATTCTAAAAACAAGACACTGTTTGGATGCCTTTTGTCAAGGCCACATCATAAAATTTTCCTTTTATCAATAAAACGATAAACTCTCTACAATGGTAACAATATACCACAGAGGAATTATGGAATGCATATGGAAAGTGTGAACCAGAATTTTCTCTTGATTTTTCTCATCAAGCGAAATCGAATAAATTTCAGGATATATAAGCATCGGGGGAAAGGAGCTTTAAATGGCTTAATAAAAGAAAAACCTGTTGATCGTATGAAATTAACTGCTCGTCCAAATAAAGCTATACCTTTCTCAAGCTTCCAAGATTTTATGTTACGAACGTATGGCATAGACAAAAATATTTGCTAGTTTTTTCCCAGTCATCTTAACTTTTTCTCTTGGGAGAGGACCAACGGCAAGCCAGTAAATATCAATATTCTCCAATTCTAAACTAAATGCCATAATGCTCGCCTCGCTTCTATACTATCTACCCTGGAACGACAGCCTTAATATTCTCATCCATTAGATTGAAAATGTTAACCTTTCTATGCTTTCTTATTGCTTTGTAGAAGAAAAGCCTGTCAAAGTTCACCTGATCCAATGTCGTGGGATTTGCGAAAAGTGAAAAATTAAAGTTTCTTCTCAGAAATGGCTGAACCAATCGCGACGAATTTTGATTTGTCGACTAAAGATAGGAGCACTTTCTTGGCTCTAGCTCTCAGTAGGCCTGAGAGGTCTGATCTGAGGTCCAAACCAAAAAAAAAATGAGGCTGATTTCAAATTACTCAAATTGTTATCAATTCAAGCATTCTGATCATTGCACTGGGCCTAGATGAATTAAATAAACACTTTTGCATGTGCATGCATGTACTTTCGACATTTAAATAAGCCGCTACTTCATTGTCTTAATTTGAACATTTTACTGTTCAACGGAAAATGGCTGATACCCTGTATTCAAAATAAAATCAATATTCACCTCTAATATACATGAGTATACAATATGATTTCTCAATGTCAAAACACACACATACACACCCTTACACACACACACGCACACACACACACACAAAAGAAAAAAAGCAAATAAAACGGTCACCTGAGTAATACAACCTACATGTATAAAGGATTCTTGGTATGGCAATTTAATAATAACAGATATAACTAGAGGTACTGTGAGCGAGCTCACAAAATGATACCCCGGCGCAATTTTTTAAGTGCCCATTCAAAATTTCTAAATGTGACCTTGAACTTGCCAAAATACCTCGGTTAAAAAAACATGCACACATCCTCGTGTCATTAGTAATCTTTCAGTAAAATATGGTCGAACAATATTTCTCCATAAGAAAATTAAAGTCCTGTTATGAATTTTACACTATCTATACCAGTGACCTTGAACTTGCCGAAATGACCTCGGTTTAAGGTCTTGACGCATTCTCAGGTCATGAACAATCTCTGTACCAAGTATGAGCTTCCAGTGACACTCCACAAAAAAGTTATAGCCAGGACAAGATTTTTTTTACTTTTCTGCCAGTGACCTTGAACACACGTTTAGGTCATACACAATCACTGTGTACGAAGTATGAGCTTCCAGTGATGCTCCATTAAAATGTTATGGCCCGGACAAAAATGTTATACTTTTTTGCCAGTGACCTTGAACTTGCCGAAAAGACCTTGAGTAAAAGTCAGAACACACCCTTGTATCATAAGCAATCTCTGTACCAAGCATGATCTTCCAGTGCTTCTCCATATCAAAATTATATCCCGGATAACATTGCACTGATAGACGCACAGACGGATGGACAGCTAGAGACAAGGTGGTTCCTCGTTTGCCGGGAGTATAATAAAATAAAATAAATTTGTTGCTCAAAACAAGAGAAACTGGACGATCAAAGATCAATAAAATTGTTAGTCTGGTAATCTGCAACAACCCAGAAAGTATAGATCTATTTATTTTCTTGTATGTATCGGTGCTAACTACTCCATCACTATCACCGAACTTAGTAACACAATACTTTATCAACATGAAACACGGTATTCATATTGTCATCCATAGCATTGGCCTCTCATCGTTTTCGAATAGCATTTAATGTATAATATAAAAAAATATTTTTGTTTAATGAATTTTGATTGATTCATTGTATGTCGTTTAACGTCCCATTCGAAATTTTTTTTATCTGAATGACTCAGGTGACCATAAAAATATCATCAAAAATACTCTTTTGGGCGGGGGGGCGGGGGGGGGGTTTAAAATAAAAACAATTAAATTTTCATTTTATTATGATTTACAAATCACAGCAACTGGGTAAGTAGGGATAATTAACAGGTAGAATACAAAGTATTACATTTTTAAGTGATGATACTAGTAAGATATGAATTTCTATACATGTATATTGTTCATACAATATATTAATCTTGTTTTCTTATTTTCTATCAAATTTCCTTGTGAAATGCTTCTCTCTCTTTGACTTTTTCTCCAGAATTCCCAAATATCAAAAGATTAGGAAAATAGGTCGCCAATTTCAAATATTCTCCTAGAGTTCAGGAATTTCCTTATCATATAATTGCCGTTATTTAGGTCAATGCATGTTTTGATTTCATGTTTTAAATGTTTTACTTTGACATTTCCAAAAGATTAAAACCTTACCTTCGTCCACAGACAATCTAAAAATGAAAAAAATGTTATTCTTCCCGGAAAGAACGACAGACGAAGACATCAATAAATTTCAATGCTCCATATCATAAACACGTTACTCATCACGTGTTGTAATTAAAAGGATTTCAATTAGAAATAGTAAAACATGCCTCCACACATAGTCTATATTCTTCTTTCAAATGAAGAAAATCGTCAAGTCTATCCAGTTGATTCTAAAAAATATGCTAATTTTGCTAAAAATGGTCACAGATTTAATGCTAACAACATAAACATTACCGCTAATGAAAACCGTCATTTCGCCATATTTTATTATATCATTACTGCATCAAAAGTAGTATACATGTACATTACCGCTACATTTTACCTCTGTTAGCCAGCACTTTATGTACTAATATAAAGTATAATAGAGTTTGAATTTTGATT